GTATTCATAATAAGCATGATTCATTACGTTTAAGAAATGGCAACATACTTATCATTCATTTGATTAGCTCATTTGCATTCATTTTAGCTCTTAGACCTTATACATTGGCTCACACATATTATATGTTGATATATTTAGCTCATGACATGCAATCATAGCTCACAATACCATAATCATGCAAGGCAACAAGGTATTTAGCTCATATAAGCTCAATGCCATTGAATTACCTTGTTCTCTTTGCACATGTAGGTACATTGGACCATGACACATGTTTGGATAGCTTGGTGGAGTTTTGGATGTCATATACAACTCACAAATAGCTCACAAATAACATGGCAGCTCGTGGAACACTAAGGAAATCTCAACTCAGCTGGAGGAGCTTAAGGCCAACTAATCTCAACTAGTTAGACTATTTGAAGTTAAGTTGCTAAATGTGACATCAAGTGTAGCTGAATGTAGCTGAATGAGATGCTATGTAGCTTGGAAGGTCATGACTAAGGAGGTCATTCACCACCAACATTCACATCAAAAGCTAACAAAACACATGCTCGCTTGAAGGAAGCTCAAGTCATGCCAAGGTTGCGGCCCATTCTTGAACTTCATCCTATGCATAAGGATGCACCACAAGAATACTAGAGAGCCATGTGAATGCCTTGTGACCAGCCACGCCATGTGCAAGGCATATGACTCCATTTAGACACCAAGACGAAGGACCACCTATCCATTGGTCAAGCATCATTTCCTCTCCACTTTGGTGCCAACCTGAAAGGCTTCAAGTGTTATTCGGCCAAGGGACATGCTCCTCCAATCCAACCGAATCAACACATATTTATTCATGTTATTTATGAATTAAATTATCATTATAGGAAGACACAAGGGATGGCTGAACCATCATGTACCTATTCGGCCAAGTCCCTTCAAAAACTATAAATAGGATATGCCTATTTAATTTGTACACACACCTTTCTTATCAATTAAAGTGAGATATTTCTTTTTGCTTAAGTCCTTGTGACTTTTATCGCTTATCAAGTAATTCATTACTTGTGACGTCAACCCCTTTTCCTTGATACTTGTGGTTCCTATCTCCATATAGATAGTGGGTCTAAGTCCTTATTACCACCCCTTAAAGAAGCAATATAAAGTCTAGGTCTTTATTCTTTAATATTGGTTCTTTTTTGAGTCTTCTTTAAAATACTATCCTCACAACCATTCCATTATTTCATCAACCAAACCATAGACATAACAACCATCTTCCGCTACCATCTCTATTATCATAAATAGCCTACCATTTCACCTTTACATCTACCACCCAAACCATCTATTTGAGCCATTCACTTATGCAGGTTGTTTTACTTCCTTCCTAGATCCACAATCAATCAAAAAGGTAGGAGTACCTTACATCAAGTGGTAATCAGAGCTTTGGTGGAAGAAGCAACGTGCAACAACAACAACAACAAAAAATACAAAAAAAGTGCAAGTGAAAGAAATAAAAAATCAGCAAATAAATTGAAGCACTCAAAAGAAGAAAAATTCAAGCACTCAAAAAGAAGAAGAAAAAGAAAGGAAAAGAAAAGAAAGACAGAAAAGTTGAAGTATTCAACAACAAGTCTCATCACCAAGCCATTCAAGTAAGCCTTTAAATTGATTGTGGTGATAGATGGGTTTTGAAGTGACTTGTGTAAGTAACCCCTTTTATTCTCTTCTTTCTATTTCTAAACCACCCTTTTCATTTTTACTTGCTTTCCATTCCTACTAACCCTTTTGCAACCGACGCACAACAAGTAAACTTTACTTGATATAGTTTTGAGTAAAGTCATTTAGAACTTGGGATAAATAGAATTGAGAGGAAAACGACTTGAGTGTGTGAGATTAGAAGAGGACGAGTAAAAGCCTTAAAGTCCTAGAGTGCAAACACGAGCGGATTAAGTGACATTCAAGTTTTCTTGGAGTGAACTTGTGAGGCTTTGTGAGAGTATTATCTGGTAAGGTCTTTTACACATTTTATTTTCTTATCTCACTAATCATGTCTCGAAGTCCAGGACGAACCCCTGAAAGAGAAGCCCCTAACTTGCAAACTCAAGCAATTATGCATGAAATGGCGAGATTGTTGAAACTAGAGTTGGAGCCTTTGCATGAAGGAATGGATCAAATTGAAGCATCTTTGGGCAACCGGAGAATAAATCGCCCTAGAATGGAAGAAGAATTTGAGGAAGAGGCTAAAGTAACTTCAAAAGCAAGAACATATGTCCCTAGAAATCAACATGATAACTTCAGCAATATCAAGGTAACCATTCCTCCATTTCAAGGATGAACTGATCCTGAAGCCTATCTTGACTGAATAATCAAGATCGAGCATATTTTTTAATCTCAAAACTACACAGAGCAAAAGAAAGTAAGGCTTGTTGCTATAGAATTTGTGGACTATGCCCTAGTTTGGTGGGATCAATTGATAAGTTCAAGAAGACGAAATAGTGAACTCCCAATCAATACTTGGGAAGAAATGATATAAGGTAATTCTACCTCTTTAATTGATTGTGGATCTAGGAAGGAAGTAAAACAACCTGCATAAGTGAATGGTTCAAAATAGATGGTTAAGGGTGGTAAACGTAATGATGTGATCACGCCCACATCAGATCCCGAAGTCATGCCACAAGGTCCCATTACCAGATCGAGGGCCAAACAATTCAGGGAAGTACTCCTAACTAAGTGTCTTGAGACTTTTGATTCATTTGATAACTTGACAGCCTCCGACGTTAAGTTATATAATGTATCGACAGTTAATAACTTAGTATGAGCAGTTCATGCATTTAGTTATAGTTGCATTGCATCTTTTTATCTTAAGCATGCATACATTCGTAGAGTTCATTTCAACATAATTTTCATATAGATTGCACAAAGACAACCCATGTGCGTAAAGAACAAAGGCACAAAAACAACCCATGTGCATTGATTCAATCTTGTCTCCTAATAATGCACATGGCCAGCACACACAAGCAATCACTACCAGATTTTCTAAGAACACCCATGTGAAGCCATATGGTCAGCAAATCACGTGAAGGAGTGTAACTCACCATTTGGAACAAAACAACACCCATGTACGTGATTTGGAACAAAACAACACTCATGTGCATGCTAGCACACCATGTGCAACTTGTGTGGTTCCACTTAAGCATCAACTTGAATAAGAACAAGTGCATTTCGGCCATGATACATGCCTCCTACATTTCCACCGAAAAAGTACCTATTATTTCATATTAATTATGTGTTAAATCATGTCTTTAGGAAGGAGCAAGGCTGGCACATTACAAGCTGTTATCAATCAGCCAAAACACTTTCAAACCTTTAAATAAGCTTTGTTATTTCATTTGTAATCAGAATTTTATGAATTAAAACTCTGTGAGTTATTCTCTCAAAATTGGTTCTTCTTAGAACTATTTTCTTCACATTTCAAGACTGTTCTTGTTGTGTTAAGTTTGTGATACTTCGGGTTCTTAGATTACTATCTAACGGGTCCAAGTCCTTGAACATTGAACGTATAAGGTTCGGGTTTATACTCTTTTAGTATAAGTTCTTCCTTGTTCCTTGTTATATCCAAATTTCTACCATCACAAATTCCATTACCTCATATATAAATTATCATTCCTTATTCAAATTTCGTTCATATCCATATCCATATAACCCCAACATCATCCTTACTATCAAGTAAGTTTGCTGCCGAGGAATTGCTTACTTCGTACTAGATCCGGTACAATCGAAGAGGTCCTCAATTGACGGACTGAATCGTATCATATGGTAATCAGAGCAAAGGTGAACCAAGTAAGAAATTCATCTTGAAAAAAAACTTCCGAAAATTAAAAAAAAACAAATTCCGAAAATTAAAAAAGAAGAAGAAAAGTTCTGGTCTTGTGATGAAGAGAAATGCTATGATGTTGTGTTCTTCAATATTGAAATGCTTTGAGCTTTGATTCAATCCAAAACGCAACATCTTTGATTGTATTGGTGACAGTCTCGTTGTAAGCATTTCTTTGTAGTAAGTTTACTAATTATTTTCATCTTCCCTTCTTTATTTTCCTTTGAATTGTTAGCCTTCCTTTCATTATTTTCTAGTTTCTTTTAATCTTTATTGTTTCCTATAGCCGACACACTTGACAGATTTTTGAAAGATCGAATTTAGTTCGTAAAAGAACTGACTACGAGGGAACGAGTGAAAAAGGCACATTGAGTGTGTGAGATCAGAAGGGGAGATAGAAAAGAGCCATTAAAAGTTTCTCCCGAGTGAAACACGAGTGTTGAGTGATTGAGTGTCAATTCTGATTTCTTTGGAGCGTAATTGTGAGAATCTTTGTGTGTATATTGTAAGGACCTATATACATTAATTATTTTCTTTGTGTGTTGTTTTGTTTTATTTGATTAATATGGCAGGTTCTAGTGATAACCATCTGAGTGACCAACCACCAAATTTGCAAATGCAAGCCATTACACGTGAGATACAAAGGATAATAAGGGTTGAACTTGAGACTCTACATTATATAATGGATAAGATTAAAGGAGAATCCCAAACGCATCATAATGAAGAGATTAATGATGAAAACGAAATTGACCAACCTCCAAGACCAAATCAGAGACATGGACGTACACTTGATGATAATTTGGCTAACATAAAAGTTGTGATTCCATCTTTTCAGGGACGAACAGATCCCGATGCATATTTGGCATGGGAGAGTAAAATTGAACATGTTTTTGAGTGTTATAATTACTCGGAACAAAAGAAGGTTCGTTTGGCAGCAATGGAGTTTGTTGATTACGCTCTCATTTGGTGGGATCAATTGCTGATCAGTAGATGAAGAACCGGTGAGGGTCCAGTGAACTCGTGGACAGAATTCAAGCGAATCATGAGGAAACGGTTTGTTCCATTTCATTATCAACGTGATTTATTTCAAAAGTTACAAAACTTGAAACAAGGTAATCAAAGTGTTGAAGATTATTTCAAGGTAATGGAAATGGCCATGATGCGTGCAAACATGGAGGAAGATAAAGAAGCAACTATGGCACGTTTTCTTGCAGGGTTGAATTTTGAAATTGCTAACGTTGTTGAGTTACAACATTTTGTCAAGTTAGATGACATGGTGTATATGGCCATCAAAATTGAAAGACAACAGCATAGAAAGTCTTCTTACCAAGGTAATACTCCTTCTAAAGTTTCCTTTAATCCATCTGTTACTCCTAATAATGCTAGGAAGCAAGCACCATTTAATATTAAGGAAAGAGCGGAAACGAGTAGTCCAAAACCTCTCATTGTTGAAAATGGACGTGGAAAGCAACATATACAAACAGAACGCACAAGAGACATCCAATGTTTCAAATGCCTTGGTAGAGGGCATGTTGCAAGTCAGTGTCCTAACTGAAGGACAATGATGACATGTGTGAATGGGAAAATAGAGTCTGAATCTGACAATGATGAGCAAGACACCCCCTTGGTGGACGATGATGAAGATGATGACCAAGTACAGACTTATGCAACTGGTAAAGCACTTGTGGTTAAAAGAAACTTGAATGCACAACCAATTCAAGATGAGCAGCAGCGCGAGAACATCTTTCACAAAGATGTCTTATGAATGATAAGGTATGTGTTGTGATTATTGATAGTGGTAGTTGTACTAACGTTGCAAGTATTGTTATGGTTGACAAACTAGGGTTGAAAACGATAAAGCATCCCAAGCCATACAAGCTACAGTGGTTGAATGATGCTGGAGAGTTAAGGTCACTAAACAAGTTCTTGTACCATTTTCCATAGGAAAATACAAGGATGAAGTGATATGTGACGTTGTGTCGATGGATGCCACTCATTTGTTGTTAGGACGTCCGTGGTAATTTGATACAAAGGTGATGCATGATGGTTTCACAAATAGATATTCTTTTATGAATGCAGAAAAGCAAATCACCTTAGCACCTTTGACACCCAGTCAAGTGCAAGAAGACCAAGTCCGATTGAAAAAGAATAGTGAAGAAGCAAAGGGGAAGAAAAAGATAAATGTGTATGCAAGCAGAAAAGAGATCAGGAAGTGTCTTTCCTCTCAACAATCTTTACTCATTTTAATGTATAAAGAGCATTGTTTGTTGGTTGAAATTCCCCCTGATTTGCCTTTGTCTATTGCATCTCTTTTGCAAGATTTTGAAGATGTGTTTCCTCAAGAAATTCCAGATGGATTACCACCAATTAGTGGAATTGAACATCAAATTGATTTCATCCCTGGAGCTACCATTCCAAATAGACCAGCCTACCGGAGTAATCCTGAGGAAACGAAGGAGTTACAGAAACAAGTCAAAGAGCTGTTGAACAAAGGACACATTCGAGAAAGTTTAAGTCTTTGTTCTGTACCAGTTTTGTTGGTACCAAAAAAAGATGGAACTTAGAGAATGTGTGTGGATTATAGAGCTGTAAACCAGATCACTATCAAATATAGGCATCCTATACCTCGATTGGATGATATGCTTGATGAACTTAGTGGAGCCAACATCTTCTCCAAAATTGATTTGAAAAGCGGCTACCATCATATTAGAATGAAGGAAGGATATGAGTGGAAAACCGCATTTAAGACAAAACAAGTTTTGTATGAATGGTTAGTCATGCCTTTTGTCTTAACTAACGCTCCTAGTACCTTTATGCGTCTAATGAATCATGTCCTTCGGTCTTACATCGGTAAGTTTGTGTTGTTTACTTTGATGATATCCTAATTTACAGTAAGTCCTTGAGCGAACATGTTGAACATTTAAGGATTATTCTAAGCACTTTAAGAGGAGAGCATTTATATGTTAATCTCAAAAAGTGTGCTTTTTGTACTGACCAAGTTACCTTCTTAGGTTTCATTATTAGTTCACAGGGACAAGCAGTTGATCCAGAAAAGATTAAGGCAATTCAAGAATGGCCAGAACCAGTCAACATAAGTCAAGTTCGTAGCTTTCATGGGTTAGCCAGTTTTTACAGAAGATTTGTACCAAACTTTAGTACATTTGTCGCCCCCTTAACCGGGATTATTAAGAAGAATTCAAACTTCTGTTGGGGCAAAGAACAAGATGAAGCATTTAAGGAACTCAAGGATTATTTGAAAAAGGCTCCCCTATTAGCCTTGCCAAACTTTGAGAAGACATTTGAAGTTGAATGTGAAGCCTCCTGGATTGGGATTGGTGCTGTTTTGAGTCAAGAAGGAAAACCAATCACTTACTTTAGCAAAAAGCTAAATGGTACAACCTTTAATTATCCAGTATATGACAAAGAGATGTATGAACTCAATCGAACATTAGAGACTTGGCAGCACTACTGATGTGATCACAACTAAACAAATGGATCCTGAAGTTATGCCCAAAGGACCTATCACTCATGCAAAGGCAAAACAATTCAGGGAAGTACTTTCTCATAAGTGCCTTAATGTTTTTAAATCTTTTAATGAGAAAAAACCATTAGATAATAAGTTGTTTAATATGTTACATATTGAATATTAAATAACCTATAGTCACATATTTATAATATACACATTATATAAGTTTATATACTTAGTTTATTTTCTTATGTTATGCATGTAGGCACATTCGGCCAACACTTGGGAGCTGTATTGGAGCTAAATGGAGGATGTAACAGCAAGGAAAATTACATGGGATCGATTAGGAGAGCACAAGGAATAATTGGTGAAAAGTTATCTGGAGGCCGTGAGCTCATAGCTGGATTGAGATGAAGATTTGAGCTACAAGATGACCTCATTTCAGCTGGGGAATTGCACCATCATCATCACCACTTAGGACACTTCAAATATGTCCTAAGTCAAAATTTGTGAAATCGTACCTTTTCGCGAATAGTTGCCACCTCAAGAGGTACATTTTCACAAGGCTGCCCAAACGTTCACCATGTTACAAGTCATCTAAGGCCAGCTCACCACCAGTTCATTCACACCCAAAATAGCTCAAACATGAAGGGTTACCTTTCCAAACATTTTGACCTTTCATGAATGATGCTACCCATAAAGATGCCTTTTCAACAAAGAACACGTGGATGAAGAGATCACACCTATTGGAAGCTTAAATCACCAAGAGATATGAGCTAAAGGATCCATGCCTATTCGGCCACATCACATGCCATGCACATGAGAGCCTTTGGAGCCAAACATGAAGAGACACACCACCATTCGGCCAAGGGAAGAAAATGGCGCTAAGATGAACAAGCATGCCCATTCGGTCAAGGGAGATGTCTTCCCATCCTTAGTCGAATCATTAAGGCTTTTTATGAAGGATTAGCCGAACCATCACAAGCCCAAAGGACTTATTCATTCATCTCAAGCATTATGTATTTTCCTAGAGACATGTATCTAGCCGAAACAACTTGTAACCATTCGGCCAAGCCCTCTCATTTCCTATAAATAGAGTGGCTTGCCTTCATTTGTACCTATCTCATCTCTTATATAAAATATACTCTTGTGAGTTATTTCTCTTCAAAGTTCTTTGTGAACTTTATCGATTAAACAAATATAGTTCCTATACTTATGGCGTCCTTCCTTCCATATTTATTCCTAAATTCCTAGATTTATATCTAGTGGGTTGAAGACACAATCACCACCCCTCAAGCAAGTTTGTGAAGACCGGGATTGTGCTTCATAGCATAGTTTCCTCTTTGGCGAGTTTGAGATACAACATCACCACCATCTTCGTTTCATCATCCACATCCTTTATCAAGACCATCATCAATCCCATAATTCCGCAACCATCTCTATTCTTATTCTTTCATTCCATTACTTATATTATTATTCATTTCTTAAACCCATTATTAATCATATTTCTTTCTTATTATTTTGCAGCCCAAGCTTATTAATTCAAGGACATCAATACTTGTCAATCCTAGATCGGGACACAATAAGGCTATCTACTCTTTTTCACTAAACCGTGTAGATTCTCCTTACATCAAGCGGTAATCAGAGCATAGTCGGATTGACAACAAAAGTGTCATTGGTGTGCAAAGCTAAAAGAAATTAAAAAAAAAGACTCCTTCAACAAATTGGAGTGCAAAAAGAAGAGAAAAATTAGAAAAGAAGAAAAGAAAAGAAAAAGAGAAGTTCAAAAAGAGAAAGCAAGTCAAGGAAAGCGCTCTACCTTTGCAAGTACATCAAAGAGGTCATCTACACTAAGAAAAGATAACCTTATTGTTTCTTGAGAAAAGTTGCAGTAAGTGTTGTTTCTTGAATTGTAAGTCACCTCTTTCTTTTCAATAATTTCATTTTCCTTGTCTTCAACCATTTTTTTTCTTTTAATACCTTAAAACCTTTCTTCTACCTTTCCATTTCTTCTATTCTATCTACCCTAACCTATTTGCAACCGATGCACACAAGGAAGGAATTAACTTGTTAAATCTTGAGTAAGTTCTTCAAAGGACTTAGCAAGAGAAATTGAGTGGAAAAAGGCTATTGAGAGAGTGAGATCAGAAGGGGAATTGTTAAAAGCCAAATATATATATTCCCCAGAATAAACACGAGTGTTGAGTAGAGTGATCCTATCATTTCTTTGGAGTGAATTTGTGAGACTTTCTGAGTGTGCTGGTAAGGTTTATTTTGTTTTATTATCTACTAACAATGTCTCAAGTTTCAGAACAAGTTTTTGTAGTGAAAAGAGCCTTGAATATTCAGTCCATGGAGAATAATCAAAGAGAGAACATTTTTCACACTAGATGTCATGTAAACAACAAAGTTTGTTTCATGATTATCGATGGAGGAAGTTGTACCAATGTTGCAAGCACTTTAATGGTGGCTAAACTCGGACCCAAGACACTTAAACATCCTACACCATACAAGCTACAATGGCTAAATGATGGAGGAGAAGTTAAAGTCACCAAACAAGTCAACATTTCCTTTTCAATTGGGAAATACCAAGATCAAGTCCTTTGTGATGTCATTCCAATGAATGCGTGCCATATACTTCTAGGGAGGCCTTGGCAATTTGATAAGAAGGCTGTCCATGATGGATTCACAAACCGGTACTCTTTCTATCACAATGAAAAGAAATTCATATTGACTCCTCTTTCACCAAATCAAGTGTCTGAATATCAAGATGCTTTGAAGAAAAGCATTGAAGTTTTCAAATCTATAAAGGAGGAGGAACCAACGAAGATGAACATATATGCTGGAGGAAAAGACATTAGGAAACATTTGTTATCCTACAAAGCTCTAATTGTACTTAGGTACAAGGAAAGCTTAATTTTGACTAACATTCCAGAAGGTTTACCGTTTTCTATTTCATCTTTATTGCAGGAATTTGAAGAGTTATTCCCAGACTATATTCCTAGTGGATTGCCACCTATTAGAGGGATTGAACATCAAATTGACTTCATACCAAGTGCATCCATTCCAAACCGTCCAGCATATAGAAGTAACCCTAAAGAAACTAAGGAGCTTCAAAAACAAGTTGAAGAATTAATGGACAAAGGATACATACGAGAAAGTTTGAGTCCATGTGCTGTTCCGGTGTTACTTCTGCCCAAAAAGGATGGTTCATGGAGAATGTGTGTAGACTATCGTGCTATCAATCAAATTACCATCAAATACCGACATCCTATACCAAGACTTGATGATATGTTGGATGAATTGAGTGGAGCCACTATGTTCTCTAAAACTGATTTAAAAAGTGGATATCATCAAATCATAATGCGAGAAGGAGACGAGTGGAAAACCACATTCAAAACAAAGCAAGGATTATATGAATGGATGGTGATGCCTTTTGGATTAACAAACGCTCCAAGCACCTTCATGAGGTTAATGAATCATGTACTCAGACCATTCATTGGTAAGTTTTGTGTGGTTTATTTTGATGATATTCTGATTTATAGTCATGACTTGGAATCACATGTGCAACACTTGAGGTATGTTCTTGAAACCCTTCAAAAGGAAAAGCTTTATGCAAATATGAAGAAATGTGTCTTTTGCACTAACAGTTTAACCTTCTTAGGCTTTATTATAAGTTCACAGGGACTTGAGGTTGATCCTGAAAAGATCAAAGCCATTCAAGAATGGCCTACGCCTACTTCAATCAGTCAAGTCCGAAGTTTTCATGGTCTTGCAAGTTTTTACAGAAGGTTTGTGCCTAATTTTAGTTCTATTGCCACCCCTTTAACAGGGATCATTAAAAAGAATTCTATCTTTTCATGGGCCAAAGAACAAGAAGATGCCTTTAACAAAATGAAGGAATGTTTAACCAAGGCACCTTTACTTGCATTACCTAACTTTGATAAGACTTTTGAAGTGGAATGTGATGCTTCTGGAATCGGAATTGGGGCTGTTTTGACTCAAGAAGGACGACCCATTGCATATTTTAGTGAAAAGTTGAATGGTGCTTTGTTAAACTATCCAACTTATGACAAAGAGATGTATTCTCTCATAAGGGACTTGAAGTTTGGCAGCATTATCTTCTACCAAAGGAATTCGTCATACACACCAACCATGAAGCTTTAAAACATATCAAAGGCCAACATAAGTTAAACAAGCGACATGCCAAATGGGTGGAGTTTTTGGAGTCATTCCCTTACGTCATTTATTACAAGAAAGGTAAAGAAAACATTGTAGCTGATGCTCTCTCTCGAAGGAATGTTCTCCTTAATGCTCTTGATTCAAAGTTAATTGGGTTTTCGTATACTAAAGATTGTTATGCTACTGGCCATGACTTTGAAGAGAAGTATAAGGCTTGTGAGAAAGGTGCATATGAAAAGTTTTATAGGCACGAAGGATATCTATTCAAAGAAGAACGTCTATGCATTCCTCAAGGATCCCTTCGAGAAGTGCTTGTTCGAGAAGTGCTTGTTCGAGAAGCACATGAAGGAGGTCTCATGGGTCATTTTGGAGTAAGCAAAACATTAGAGATTTTGAAACAACACCTCTATTGGCCTAAGATGAATAAAGACGTTGAAAAGGTATGTGAACGATGTGTCACTTGTAAAAGGGCGAAATCAAAGGTTATGCCTCATGGACTTTACATGCCTTTACATATTCCTCAAGCACCATGGGTTGACATATCAATGGACTTTGTGATGGGACTACCAAGGACCAAGAATGGACGAGATTCAATATTTGTTGTTGTAGATCGTTTTTCCAAGATGGCATATTTCATACCATGCCACAAGACAGACGATGCAACACATGTGGCCAACTTGTTCTTTAAAGAAATTGTGAGATTACATGGCGTTCCAAGAACCATAGTTTCCGATAGAGATGTCAAATTTCTTAGCCATTTCTGGAGGACATTATGGAGTAAGATTGGGACAAAGTTGCTATTTTCCACAACATGTCACCCTCAA